AGGGGACAAACAATTTGGGAAACGGCCAATAAATTTGTTAGTAAAAAAAAAATCTTTTTTTTAAGCAAAGCATTTACTGGCACATTTTAGATATACACAATGATAACATCCATCACAGGGAATTTGCACATGTACATGATATATCTTGCACCTTTATCTCACTCCCCTCCCTGTTCAACCCTTCTCCCCCTTATTTACAAAAGCTTTGCTTCCATTTTTTCCTTCCACTCTTCTTTTTCCTGTCCCTTCTTTCCTTTCTCCCTCACCACTCCCTTGTTTCCCTTCTCATTTGAATATCTCTTCTCATTTCCCCACATCTATTGTACATTTTGGTGGTTATTTCCACTTTCGATTTCTCACACCACAGAAACAATGTGCTATTTAAAACATGTGTGTCCGATTTAAAAAGATACTTTTTGTCAGGGATTTAAGATTCAAGCTTAATTTCAACAAGGTGAATGCTAATGCAACACCTCTGTCAGAAAGAGAGATATTAATTTCCACAGGAAAGTCTCCCCACAGGACAGCACTATCAGGAGCTCTGAGGCAGGAGCACTGTGCCAGCGTGGCAACTCACTCCACTAAAGCAGTCTTAGAGTTGGGGCACTGGCTGGGAAACCCGTCCCTGACACAAACACTGCACACTCTAAATTCTCACCTGGGGCTACTGGACTGTACATGGTCTGACTCCCGGTCATTCGTTAGGTTCTCACCTTTATTGCAGTTTGACCACTGGTTTTTTCATTTTCGTGGTTCTCTGTCCAACCTGAGCCTGGCATCTTCTCTCTTCCAGAAATTGACTTTTCATCTTCAATAAAATAACTCCAATATCCAATTTGGCTTTAACCCCTATTCTCCGTCTCATACTTCAGTATCTCCTGACATTACCTACCTCAGGGCCTTTTCATTCCTTCTAGTTTGAAAATCATTTCATCTAAAAGTGCCAGTTAAAATTTTATCTATATTTCAAAGGCCAAGTCAGTGGCTAAATAAACCTTTTGGAGGTCTTTGAAGAAATGCTTTCTCAACTTCCTGTCTTCTCAAGACTCTGTACTCTGTACCCCTTTCTGTACCAATTATTCGACTTTGGATTTGGCTTTATATACATTATATATAAATATGTGTATCTTTATTTTCTGCCCTAAATGAAAATCCAAAAGGGCAAAGAAAACATCCTGCTCCTCTCTGTATGCCTTGGAGTGCTAAGCTAACCTCACAGGTTCAGCTCCTGCCATCCTAGGCTCAAGTTCCCATAACAGTTTTGTCCATGGTTGGTGAGCTACGTCAAGCAATAAATCACTATAAAAGTCATATCTTTGATACAAACGTCCATGGAGATTTCAAGCTGCACATCTCCTAGAATGATACATTCTATCATATTCTCTCTCGTTTTTTTTTGTTTTTTTTTTTTACAGGAAATGTCATGTCACAATTCTTTCTCCAAGTTACATATTTGGGAAATGCCAGAATAAATTATAACAGTCTTTAATATTTGCATCTACACAGATCCGAAAAGCTTGAGCTTATTTATTAAAGAAGGGTAAGGGTATTTTTTTTACCCTCAAGACCTAGAAAGCCATTTTTAAAAACAAGTACCATTTTTTAAGTTTTCATATGCTTTGGCCTGTTTCACAATGGTAACACTCAATTTCAACACTTTATGAAACTTCTTTCATATGATTTTTTGAAGCAAATAGTCTTAGGCTATAACTAGGTTATTCAAATATTTAAATATGTTTTCATATTTTAAGTTTAACTAGAAATGTTTTAATAGTTCTTTTGCTGCACGATGTTACACAATTATTCTTAACTAAATTGTGGGTAATTTTTTAAAACTATGCATAAATTCAGAACTGGCATTTCCATTTCAAAAGCAAATAGACACTCAAACCATTTTATGCTAAAGTAAGTTCATATTATGCACAGTATTATTTTGTTTACTGTCATGACAGAGAACAGTTTCAAACACTCCTAGTTTATACTAAGGTATAACTTTAAAAAAAAACTGTTTTCTAATAATTCATGTACATGACTTTAAGGGACAAACACAATCATGAAAAAATTACCAAGAAGAGCTCACTGCTCTGTTAATATGTACCAGTACTTCAAATAGCAACTGCAGATTCTCATCCATTAATACAGTATGGAGTTCAGCAGTTCTGAACTCTAAAATATTGCTTTCAGAAAAATCAAAATAAAAAACAACATCCAAGACTAATGCTTTTAGTGACTCTCTCAATAATACACTAAGCATCTACCCTGTGCTAGGCAATTTTCTGCTAAGAATATCACAGTAAGCAAAAGCAATGTAGACCACTGTGCCTATGGAGTTTACATAAAACAAATATCTTCCAGCATATGAGGCTTCATGAAGAAAATTAAGGAATCAAGGAAGAACAGGGAAGAGGGGCAGTTGTAATGTTAAATTCTTTTTTGCTTAAATATAAAAGCAAAAACTTGAGAAATATGAGGTCTAAACCTCTGGGAGAACTTCAGGTAAAGAGAAAGAGTGTTATTTTTATATTTAAGGGAATAATAGAAAGTAATTTCCCCATTTTGTGATAAGATCATATTCTTCTACTGAGGGACCACAGGAGATGGAGTACACTAGTTATGAGATTTTAGCCACCATATAATCTGGTTTATGCTTTTATGGGCCATGGGCTAAACCTGGCCCACCACAGTTTACAAATAAAGAGCTACTGGAATACAGCATCATCCGGTGGTTTATATGTTGTGTTTCTGGCTATACTGAATAGTTGCACAAGAAAGCATGGTAAAGGTTAAAATATTTACTATTTGACCCTTTACAGAAAATCTCTGTTGTATGGAATTCACATACCATTTCAGCCCGAAATCCCTGCACCAGTCATGTAATGTAGCCAGTAGTTAAAGCTTCTGCCCAAGGAATGGGCAGGCATCAGTTTGTCTAATTAAGGAGCATCTTACACACCCCTAAAACACCCTCCTGAGTCTAACAAGAAAGAACAAATCTCAGATTCTACATAGAATCTAATAAATACATACTTTATGGCCAACTACAGGTGTTTAAGTCACAGCAACAGTCATGTAAAAGTGTTTTTAAAGTTCTTCATGGAAAAAATCCTTTCTTACTATGCTATCTCCATTCATACTTCTACCAAGGAAAAAAAAATTTTAAGCCAAAGATCCTTAATCTCTTCCCTTAAAACATAAAAACTATGAATTTAAAGACCTTCTAACATCTAACATTAGGCAGGTTCAGAAAGAAAGGGTAATCAAATTTTGATAAAAGGCTAAAAAAATATCTAATTGTTCCAAAGGTGGCCAAAATTGGTCAAGCGCTGTCAATGTGTCTTCACATAAAAACCCGTTAAGTATGATACACCAAAGATCTACCAAGGAAATGCCAGCTACTGCACACTTTGCACGCAGTCTGCTAATTCTTCCTTTGAGAAAGCACTTGGGATTCCTGAAACACGTAAATTTTACAGAAATGAAAATTTCAGAATATTCAAGCTGTTTTATTCCACAAATGTGTACACTTGAATTCTGAGTTTTGCTTTTGACATTTAAATATGCATTTACCAATTATACTGATGAGTGATAAAAATGAAAAATACACAGTAGACTACCTTGTCATCATAATGTAACCAAATGGAGTGACACAAGATAAATGACATTAAGAATACTACTTCAAAAATCTAATTTTTTAAAAGATGCAATGGTATAAATATATAGACCATGTAATTGTTAACCACAAAATTATAGGTTGCATTCACTTTTTTTCTCGGTTTGTTTTTTGAGACAAGATCTCACTATGTAGTCAAGGCATGCCTTGAACTTGTTATGTAGCTTAGGCTGGCCTCAGGATCCTCCTGCCTCTGCCTCCTAAGTGTTGAGACTACAAGCATGTGCCATGTCTAGACTTGTTTTTGCTTTTTACAGAAACATAATCCCAACCAGGCATGGTGGTGTGTACCTATAATCTTAGCACTCTGGGAAGTTAAGGCAGGGAGATCAAGTTTGAGCTCTACTTGGGAACTTAGAGATTTAGCAAGCCCCTGCCTCAAAAAAGAAAAACAGAAAGGCTGGAAATGTAGCTCAATGTAAAGACCTTGGATGCAATTCCTAATCCTGAAGCAAAAGAAAAAAAAAAAAAGTAATTCCTGTTCCTACCAGTCATCACGAACTTCTTTTAATATTTTCTTCCTAGTAAAACTATTTTAAATTGAACCAAAAATACATTTTCATAGTACAGTATACAAAGCCAGAATTAGCTCACAGCATTAGGTACATAAACATGAGAGTTTGAAAGTTTGAATCCAAAATAATTAATGTATCAGGAACATTTCAAGTAAGTACCCCCCCAACAAATAAAAAAATCAGGATGCCAGAAAACAATTGTAATTTTTTTAAAAATCCCTCTCCAAAGATTTTTTAGTTTTTTAAAATGCTTATGAGACAGAAGTTTCTCTATTCATCTGAAATGCTGTATCTGTTTTAAAGTATAATATTCACACAACTCAAATTTTCTGAGCAACATACAAGAATCAGAACAATATATCAATAAAAGAGAAGACCTAAATGTAACAATGATGTCCTTTTCCCTAAGTACAAGAAGCCTTGTATTCTCAAACAGACCACTGCTATGATATGAGCAAAATCCAAACTGTGGTCTGAGAAATACTAACTCAGGCTGTGTTGTTTTCCTTTGCTACAAAGTGGGACACAGGAGAGTGTATTTTGATGTGGAGTATGTAACTAACATTAAGCATCTAGGTGTATGGGAATGACATTAGGCTCCACGTTGTTACTCAGAACCTTGAAGCCAGGCTGCGCTGCACTGATCCCTAATGTCTAAGGACTACATCTGTAAAAGTACCCCGCAAATCCAAAAAAAAAAACTATGTGCATGTGGACAGTGTTGAGAGGAATAGGGAAATGAAGTTTAGAAATGAATAAACTTGAATTATCAATACATGCTACTTATGAAATAAAACAAATGAATACATGCATACCCTTGAGGAGAGAGCTTGTCCAACCATCCTGATTTAACCTTCATGGTAGAAGAGCCATAGAAACAGGCATAGGGAGAGATGGCATTTGAGGAAACAGCTGATGAGTCTGCATTTCCACTTGTTGAGCTTAAAGGATAACTGTGTCTATTAACAGGGTCCAAATTTAGTGCTTTCTGAGTTCTAGACTTAGGTGCTTTTGAATTTTTTCTTCTTAAACTCTGAAAGCATTCTTCTACTGTTGAGTATTCTGATTCAGAAGCAGAGTCTTGCAAGAGATTGTTTTTGTCTTCTCGAGGTATCCAAATGTCTTCTACTTTGTCTTCACTTATTTTCTCCTTTCTATTATCATATATGCTAAATGGAAAGGAATAGTATTAAAATTTTAAAGTACGATATGCGATTTAACCTATCAGTTAATTCTTTTTAACTTATAAACAACCAATTGGAGAAATTTAAAGCCAGAAAAATCTTCGAATTCAATTATTCCATCGGATAATTTATAAAGCTTTTTCAGAAAAATTAAGCAGAAAACCTTTATTATCAAAAGAAATATTTAACATTACTGGAAGTACTTTCTCATGCATTATTTTATCTGATTGTTTTAAGAAGTTGGGTATAGCGGGATAGGATACAGGTGACCATATTCTTTGCTTCCCAATTTAAACTTCAACAGCTATGAATTAAGTGGTCAGTACAACCTCTACTCTCTGGGAAACATCATGAATCACTAACTCCATCTGCTTAGAGATCTTATTTCAAACTTGTTATCCCCTTTCTACTTTGCTTTAGTCCAAGGACCACATGTTCTACCATAATGTAATAAAACACAGTGTACATCTGACTAGTCAGAGCTTCGTGAGCATGTTGCAACCCTAATGAAAACAAACACTGCACCACTACCACCAC